CATTGTTAACAGACTGCATTTACAATTCTTTTACCTACAAAACCTCATTTTAACATGCATAGTAATTACTCAGGATTTCCAAAACAGTGTGAGATCATCTTGGAAAGAAAAAGGTCACAGTGTCAAAAACAAATCAATAAGCAAATTGATAAAAAAAATAACAGGATATTTTGATTGTAGAAATATAACACCTTATACAGTATGTTATACTAGGCTATGTAAACATTTTAAATATGCATATACCGTACAGTATATGTAATAGATTAGGAGAAAATTAGGCATAAAATATTTTGATTTTTAAGGGCTTGGGTGTGATCATTGCCTCTCTTGGACCATCTTCCAGATGGAGTTCTATTAAGAGCAATGTTTGGAAAGGTAGCCATCTCTTGCCTGAAACAGTGGAAGAAATAGCTCTGTAAGCAAACACGGGCGATCAGATTTTTTTTCTTTCCATCTCAGTGACTACAAGGTCATTTGAGATTCTCAGTTACAGGATCTTGGCAGTTCTAAATTATTAAAAGTACACAAGGCAAGACAGAATACTTCCACAAAAATCATAGGACAAGGATTGCCTTTCATGGATGAGGCTAAACTGGATGAGTGTCATTCCAGTCATCTGTAGAAATATATGCTGAATGTCCTTTTCAATCCAAATGCAGTGTTTGGATGCACTTTGTAATACTGTGTTGCATGTGTCTGTTTATCATTAATTGCTTTAGTTAAAAAAACTCCCTTGTAAAACATGTAAGAATAAATAATGCTAATTATGTCTATCTATAAATTAGAGCCATCAAAACAGAAAAATGTATTTTCTAGGATTTTGTATTGTTTTTTTAAACTTGGACTCTTAATCTTTGGTGTGTATGTTTACTATAGTTCAGAGCTCAAAGAAAGGTGTGGATTACAGTATGATTACATGGAGTATAGTGCAACCTTTATAGTGGTTCTGTCCTGAGAGAAAGATTGAAGTGGTTATTCAATGTGCAAGTTGATGATGACAAAATGCTATAATTAGATTTTTACAATTCAGCTCCCCACTCTTAACTTGTGTGTTATCCATTATTTTGTGGGAGGGGGATTAAAGTGATGAATACAGTACATGTAATATAAACTCTTACACAACCATGTCTCTTTGACTTTTTTCTGTACTAAAAAATAGGGTGATAAATAAAAAAAAACAGACCAACTAAACATGAATGAGCAAGCTTATTCTGGTCCTCTCACCGCCAGCAATAGGACAGTATACAGTAGGAACTACCCCTCTGGAAGAACATGATGCTCAGCAGAAGGAGTTAGACTTACTCATCAGCACAGGCAATTTGAGAGTCTTTCTGTACTTGAAATGTACTGACAGCTGTTCTGTTTGATTTTCCTCCAATATGAAAAGGAAGAAAGGGTTGAGTAAATAAAAAATGTGTTTTACCATAAATAAAAAGTGTATTTACAAATGATTAAACTCTCTAAAATGAATCTGAATCAGTGAATCATACTCATTACTTACAGTAATATTCAATATATATATATAAACATCTTTTCTGATATTTTAAAACATCACATAACAATTGCCAGTATATGTTTATTTTTAAACCTCAGTTTCATATCATCTATATAGATTGTTAATAAATTGACAATTTTCTGTCTTTTGTTCAGCATCCCTGAACATGATAGATCACTTCACCAGCTTTCTTGGGGGGTCATGTTCTGCTTTTTGGGTGGTGCACTTGCCTAAAAGGAATGGCCAAACTAGGTTGAAGAGCACATCTGTTGCAGGATATAAGCACATGCTATTTCTGACTTAGTTAAATGTCTGCTCCATTGAACACCTCTGTCCTCAATTCAGAACTCATCTATGGCTAACAGCCTTGTTGATTATATGCCTAATTGAATGCAAGTCAAGACTCTTTTTGTGTAACCGGTTGCTCTAGGAACTGCTTGGGATGAAAAGGTGGCATCTTTTTTATTCCCAGTCTGAGAATAAGCCGTTATCTATTGAAAGACTCCCCCTGTGATAAAGCCATTCCTTCTATACTCTGGTTTTCTTTCCTGGAAACAAGAGGTTGCTGGGTTTTAGCTGAACCCTACACAATAATGGGATATTTTTTTCATTGCAAAAATTTCAAACTTTGAAGGCACAGAAATAACTTGGAACAACACACATATGGAGAACATTGATGCAATAAATATTTTTATAATTAAATGCAAGTTGTGAAAATATGTGCAGATTTATTTTGTATTAAAAACAAAAGCAAGTATTTTAACATAATACTTTATATGAATGTATTATGAACTGAAAAAGGAAAGAAAAGAAAGAGAAGAAAAAATTGAGCTTCCAAACTTTTAATAGGAGAAAATTATTATTTTTTTAAATCCATTCATCTCAATATCTTGTGAAAGACTTGGATAAATAATAATGGAAAACTCAACAATGTCAAAAAGATGAATGTGTATATTTCAGAAAACCATATAGCATGTTTAAAGTCAATTTTGAATATATGAGTGTATATAAATCTGGCCTTTACATTCCACTTTTAACATTCTCACAGTACAGAAGACTGACAGCTGCAAGTCCAATCAGATTCTATATACTGTATACTGGTGGGAAAAAACCCCCGCAACATCTTCTGGAATGAGAATACTGTAGTTATAGCTTATGTACTATCACAAAAAGTTGTCAATTTGTTTTAAGCCCTCTGACCAGCACTACAGCTTGTGCAGTGAGGCATTGCAACTTGCCAATTATACCAATCACACAAAACCTCATTAGGTGCACTTTTACCCAACGAGGTCCAGGTGGAACAATGTCTGATCAGGTCACCTTTAAAAAGGCCTTAATTCAAAACTTAGGTCACTGCAAGAAAAAGGCCACACACAGTCAGTTTTCTGTGCATTCCATAATGCCTTGAATGTCACCAGAAGCAAGGGAGAAGGCTATTGGCAAGATGCAGGCAGGCATGACACGTGCCAGCATTGCTAGACACTATGGAGTAAACTGCTCCACTGTGTCCTGACTGCAGAGAAGGTTTCAACAGAGCGCCAGATGACCGTCTCCCTCATGTGACCACACCAGAGCAGGACCGACACATCAGATTGGTCCATCTGAGAGATCGTTTCAGATCTGCCACCTGTACCGCTGCTGAAACTGCCGGCAGACACAATGCCCGCACAATCAGTGACAGGACAGTGAGGCTCCATGCTGCTGGCGTTTGAGCAAGGCGTCCTGTAAGAGGCCCTCAGATCACACCTCCTAGATGTCAAACCCAACTTGCTTGTACCAGGCTGCAATGGACTCGTCAGCAGTGGCATCAGGTCCTTTTCACGGATCAGTCACTCTTTAGCCAATCACAATGCAGCCAGGAGGGCCAGAGTGAGGAGGAAGAGGTGTTGTATTTCTTTTTTCCATCAGTATATTTTTCAGTCTTGTTTAATATATATATAATTAAAAACTTGTACTGGAAAACAATTTAACTCTCAATTAAACCCAGTTCCTTCATTATGTCAATAATTCTGAAAGGGAATATTAGGGATGTAGCATTTTGGAATATTACTGACTTTGGAGGTTTGAATTCAGTCATACAGTATACTCAAGGGCAGGCAAAGGAGGCAATATTACCAATGTTGATTTAAATACATAATTTCAACCTGAGTTCCACTAGCATTATAGACATCGGTGTTAAAATATCCTGTTTTATTTAGTTTAAACAATATGGGTGCAATGCATGCAGCATACTGTATTTACAATAAATTCTGTGCTTTAGACTGAGGGTATCTGGCCCTGGTCCTAGAGTCCTTCAGATAGTAGTGATCAAATAAAGTACAGTATCTTAAAACAAATTTCTATTTGGATATTCCTTTGTAGTAAAAATGAAAATAACTGAACTATAAAAATAATTATATTAACTTGTTATTGTCTGTGTAATTTCATCATCATAAGTCATAATAGCAACAAAGGCATATATCTGAACAGAAAATAAAAAAAAACTATTGATATTGTATAAAGGTTATTGCTGTTATTTTAACCGAGAGCAAACAATTTACACAGAGTTTTTAAAATCAATTAGGTTCTCAAATCAAGGTCAGACCAGACAGGATACTGAAGATGAGAAAAAAGACACTTGTCATGCCAGTGCTTTTTGTTGTTCATGATTTTGCAAAGGAGAGAAATAACAGTTAGGATTACTACAATTGCAAAGCATTTCAAAGAAAAGGAGGACATTGGAATTTATTCAGGGTCATGGTCCATGGTCAGCATACCCTGAGCTGGCATCACAAGAACTCCCCACTCTGCCGGTTCCTAGTTCTTGATTGGCTTGTGCTCTGTAATTTTACTCATGACACTGTTTACATGCGCATATCCTAGTTACTAAATCCCGGGTTACTGAGTCCAATCTAGGCACCTTTGGAATTGAGTGTTTATCTAGTTAACACAGACATGGCATGAAACAAATTTCATTTTAGGAGAAGGACCCATCAAAAAATATTGCTCCTGCTGATTTGAAACAACATGTCTATTATGTAATATGTATTTCTGAGCACAACATAATGAAAAATGTACCTACATTATCTGTTTAGGAAAAACAAATATATCGGATTATATCAGATTTAACCAGTTACTGTATATCAGTGTAAATAAAAAATGTTTTCATTAAACTAAGTGAAATATTTTACTAATTACTTAATAGTAATTTTTCAGAAACACATAATTATGTGCTTATATATTTTATACAGTATATGTGTGTCTAAGCATATATAAGCTTTAGTACTTACAGTATATATAACAAATATACAGTATATTATAGATATATATAAACCAATAAATTATCTGTTCTATGTAATTTTGCTGTAACCAATAGTGTTCCAGGAAAAAAAACGCATAATAGATTGGAAAAGTTCCCTCAATCACAGGACAAATACAAACAAAATTTCAAAATAAAATCTGTTGTATTAAAAAAATGATCAGCATAACTAAGCAAAAATCCTTCTTCCCATTTTATGTATTGTAGGACAGCAAGCTTCTCTTCCTATCTCAATCAAGGATCTAAGACAAGCGAACTGTGATATAAGGCTTCAGGCAACTTATCCACCCATGAGCTCCAGCACATTTGGAAAGACACTGTCAGGAACCACTTGTTTCAAGAACCCATTCCATCACAATGGAAATGGTTTTCATACCATCCATGCAGAGAATAGCCCATTGAAGCCAAGGATAGTGACTGTGGTGAGGCCAGGCAGCAAGAGAAACCTGAGGAAGATAACTATTCTTCTTAATAGGCGCTCTGTGCAGACCTTTGAGCAACTGCTGGCTGACATATCAGAGGCCCTTGGTTTTCCCCGATGGAAAAATGACAGAGTAAAAAGACTGTTCAGCCTCAAAGGCAGGGAGATCCGGAGTGTGTCTGACTTCTTCCGTGGGGATGATGTCTTCATTGCTGCAGGAAGGGAGAAGTTGACAGCAAAGGATTTTCAGGACGTTTTGGAGGAGCTCTATCCAGAATGTCCGTATTCCCAGAGCATCGTACAACAAAATTGGGAAAAATTTCAAACACCTCAAACAAAAACATCAAAAGCAGACAGCGGTTTTCATGAGGAGCCCATAGTCACCAAACAGAAAGGTCCCAAGCTTCCAAAGCAGGCAGCTACCAACCTGCAGAGAGTCAGAGACAAAGCCCGTCAGGAGGAGAGGCTTAAGGCAAGAAGGTGGGAGAGGGAAAGGTGGGAGCGACAGCAGAAAGAGCTCTCAGAAAAGAACAGATTTAAGGGCCGTCTCCCACACAGAGATGAGGACATTGAAAACTTTGCTCACATTGACTTGGAAAACGCAAGCCTTTGTGAAAAGTGTAAAAGGAATCGAGGACGAAGAGAGCAGTGTACTTTAATCCAGAGAAAAAATGTGTCTCCTGACAAAAAAGCACAGGGGAGGGAGGAAGACCAGCCTGAAAAATTGCCACTAGAGAAAAGAAGGCAAAAGCCAAAAAGCTCCAAAATGTCAGAGGATAATTTCCAGAAAGAAAAACATGAGTGTGAAGATACAAAGAAGTATAGAAAAGAAAGCAGCTGGACTTGCAAAGAACATGGGGACATGTCTATTTTCCATGGTCAAAGCAAATCAGAGAAAACAACGGAGCTGGAAGACAAGAAGTGTGCTGTGGAAAAGCAATCTGCCAGGAATCCATGTGACTCTGAAGTGAGAAATGAGAATTCAGTATCAGAGAGGTTTCTTAATGGAAGGCCCAACTTCACTGAAAATAAAAGCCCTGATAAAGCTCAGACAGAAAAAGTTTCTGAAGACTTCCAACAGAAAAATGTGCATAAGGAAGGACAGCGAGAAGCAGAAACCAGAAAGTCACAAGAAGAAGTTCAAAGTTCTGAAAGAGAATCTTCAAGAAACTGTATTTTGAAGCCAAGACTTGTGAAAACCAAAAGTGACATTGAAAGTTATTATGAGATTGGCAGAGCCATAGGGGATGGGAACTTTGCTGTTGTAAAGGAGTGCAAACTTCGTAACACTGACTTTGCCTATGCCATGAAAATCATCAGTAAGGCCAAACTGAAGGGTAAAGAGCACATGATAGAAAATGAGATATCCATCATTAAGAGCCTCTCCCACCCAAACGTGGTGCGGCTGCTGCAGGACTACGAGACAGAGAGTGACATTTACCTCATTATGGAGATTGTTCAGGGAGGAGACCTTTTCGATTCCATCACAGAAAGCGTCAAGTTTACTGAACACAATGCGTCTCTCATGGTTAATGATCTTTGTCAAGCACTTGCATATATTCACAGCAAGAACATTGTTCATAGAGATTTGAAACCAGAGAACCTTTTGGTAAGTTGTGTCCCTTTCCCTAATTCAATTATATTTAGAGTGTATTATTACAAATAGGGGGTTAAGAAAATAGAGAATTGCCGAAGACAGACTGGTATAATCTATAAGTAAATTAAATAATTATAACCCCAGAATAGTAAAGATTATGCCAAACATATACCCAAGCATTTGGTATAATAGGAGGCACGTGAGATCTTTGTTCTCTGGCACAGCTTTGCTAAAGGAGTAATAAATTAGAGGAAACTGGGATAAACAAACATTGATTAAACATTTTTCAACACAAACTATAGAACACGACATACAAGTTACAAGGTGTCTCGGAAGCCAACATCCTGACTAACCTGTAAAACCCAAGACTACTACCCAGTATTGAAAGATCCTATATACATTTAACATTTACATTTAACACTCTACTCCAAGTATTCAAAGATCCCATATACTGTACTGTATCACCTAGGCAGCCTAGACAGGCCAACAAGAGAGTTAATGTTTTAAACTAAATAGGATATGATCTACAGTTAAATCTCTCTATATAGATCTGGATGCTACAAAGTGACTGGGAACCCATCTCCATATTCTAAAAATGCATTCACTAAGCAGGAAAGATTGTTTTTAATATAGGAATTTTCTATATGGGAAATCAGTTTCCTAAAAAACAAAAGAATGGCAAGCTCTTTAAACAAGGTTCAAATACAAAACTAGAATTTGCTCCTTAAGGTTGGTGAGAACCATAACCACCTGCTTAGCACTCCTTTTTTTCATTCCTTGTGTCTTGCTGTCTGTCCTCTCTTGCTTCCTCTCTTTTCTCATCTTTCTCCCTTCTCTATCTGTCTTTTTATTCTGTGTTCCTGGACTGTTGATGACAGTTAATGATTCACCAAGATCTTAATAACCAAGGAAAACCTGGCCATTCATTTAAATAGTCTGTCTCAGGCCCCTTACAATCAGTACACACCTCAGTTCTTGCTTTGATGCTTCCAGAGAACTTGACACTGTTGACAATGTACACAAGCTAGATGTTTAGCACCTCCATCTAGCTCTAACAATATCATTCAAGGGGTATACTTAAAAAAAATAAATTGTTGCAGTTTGTAGTGCAATCATCTTTTATGCTTTTCAAAATTTAAATAAATCCAAATAACTAATCCACTGTTGTCTTTAAGACATACAGTAGGCTTCAGTTTATCTAACCTATGGCACTGGACACATATTTATTATCACATATTTATTATATTTAAGTGTAATTTTGAAGTTCTGTTCCCACTTCAAGAAGAATGTTTTCACTGTCTATCTAATTATAATAATTACATTTGTAATTGTAAATACTGTGATACAGCACATACTGTAGTAAATTGTTTGCTTTGAAATTGTTATTTAACTGTTAGTAATTGTATTTTAGGGGTACTCTGTAAGGAACTTTGATTCTTTATAAGTGAATTACTAGTCCTTAACAAATGATGGGAAATCCCTCTATAAATCTAAGTACTTATTACCTCTTGTCATTAATAAATAATAAGTAATAGGTTTATTCCATGCTGAAAAGAAAAGAAAGAAAACACAATGTTTCGGCTGTGGAGCCTTCTCCTACTTGTTCTTTTGCAGCCTACGCATGCTGACGTAGCTACCCACCTGAATTAATAAATAATGTTCACTAAAGATTTCACTATGTTTCACTAATAAAGCTATGTCTGTGCTTGTCATTTACAGTACATAATCTCAACAAGAAATTACTTCAGTAATGAAATACTCATATTGCTAGATAAATATCTGTGCCAGTTGTGTAGTTCTCTGTACGATTAAAAAAAAATTACACATTATATATAGCTAAGCATATTAACATTGTAATTACTGTACATATAAGCACTTACATAAATACCAAGAAATTGTGTAAGTAATGTAAGGTGCTCCCAGCTTTTTTTTGCTACTTTCACTCAAGCTCTCCTCTGCATTAGTCTTTAGACATTAGTTTCTGTTTTGTTTTCAGCAGGGCTGGATGATTGCACTCAATAAGCCTTGATGGTAAGATGATTAGAAACATAGAAACATTAGAAACAAGGAATACACAGAAGGAAAACACAGAAAGAACCAGCAATTAATCAAAATAAAATATCTCTGTGTTGTATAATTACTTGTACTTTTGTGGTTCAGTCACAGAAGCCTCTAAATATTTACGAGATCACCTTAGACTGATATTTCGTTCCTCTTTCCAACAAGTACCGTTGTGGAAAAATTTACAAATTCATAGAAAGCAAATCTACTTAATACAGCTTTAAACTGGATTTGATACCCCCACTGTTCTAAGACTGTGCCCTGCTGTTATAAGGATTAAATGATGTAATTCTATAATATGATAATTATTATATTCATAATGACACATCAGCACACAGTGCTGTCAGTTGTGTAAATTTCAAGTACTTTTCTCACTGCTGAGCTTTTGCCTCAGTGAAACAAAACCTACAGACCAAGTGCTGTTCACTTGCCCAGCCTACATATCATGATACAACACGCAGTAATTAGAAAGCACATGATAAGCAGAGAGAATTTAGGACAGTTTTCCAATTTTTCCAAAGCAAGCATCCCCCTAGCATCTGTAGTATCTCTTCTAGGTTTAACAGGAAAGTGTCACTGTCAGTGAGTAACCATGGTGACATTCATTACTTGGTTAAACAGTGCCCTCATTTCCTTATAATACAGGTATTAAAAATGTGGTGCAAAACTGCATCTCATTGCTTACATTTTTTTAAATTGTTGAAGAAGTTGCTAGCCTAAAAACTCTCATAATTTTAAATAGCTTTTTTTATGTAATGAAAAACAACTACTTAATCAAACCAAACAATCAGACAGGGTGCTTTGCTTCTTGAAATAAATAAAAAACATCTTTCAAGAGACACCTGAAGAAGGCTCCATGGCCGAAATGTTGTGTTTTCTTTCTTCTTTTTTTCAGCATGGAATAAACCTATTACTTGTTCCTTTGCAGCCTACGCACGCTGACGCAGCTACCCACCTGAACTATCTTTCAAGAGGTTTTGTTGTGATAAAGCATTTACCAGTACTGGGTACAAAGCAGTACCGAAGGAAATAAATGTTCACACTGCTGCTATAAGATTAAAACTTAAATAAAGCAATATCCAACTACTTTGATTTACCTCATCTACAGTAATAAGCATTTGCAAGTCTTGATTAATAATAGTAATATTGACAGCACATTAGCAACTGTCGTTAAGGAGAATTCAATCAAACCAGTCTTCATAAATATATTTCTATATACTGCATTGTTTAGCTGAAAAGGCTATATAAAATACACCATGTCCTCAATTTATCAAGTCTGGGTACAGAAACAACTGCACTGTTTCCTTTTACAGTATGTGACGTGAACCTGCTATAAATATATAATAAATACTGAATATGAGTGAGAAGAGGTCACCTTAGAGATAAAGGCTCTCCATAAGCAGTGTTAGGGGAAGTAATTTTGATAAGAAATGCAGTACTCTTAAAAGTTCATTATGTACAAGATTACTTTTTTAAAATTGGAAGTTACACGAATTTGTTTTTAAGAAGTGCTTTACACAGCAAGAGGTATTTTAGATAGTAACTACTGTATACACACTAATATCATTATTTAAGATCACTGTAATTAATTACACTTTAAATTTATTGCCCCACAAGTTGTTAGTTTTGATTATTAATCCCTTTGCAAAAGTAATGTGTACCTGTAAAGAAGTTTATTTTGAAAAGTAAGCTTCCTCAAAACTGTTTACCCCTGATTTGAAATGAATGCAAGCAAAAACAGAGAAGGTGCCAAACTAAATTAAATATTGAAAAGAATTACAAAACAACCTAGCTAACATTTGAAGAGATTTATTTGATCTATATTTCTTATGCTTTAAGTGATCTGAACACATTATCTTCCTAAATACAGTAGCATGTAACATATCTTTTAATTGTGCTAGGAAAGATATAGATGTTGACAGTCTTTCTCTTTCTTTCTCTATTCTCTATCCACATATATTTGCTTTTGTTCCTTACATGATGTCACGCACACACACGGTTGCTCCTATGTTATATTATCTTCCTTCTTTGGACCATATGGTCTTATTATTTTTAGCTAAGGAAACTGAGAATGCAGAAGAAAGAAATGCTGATTTAAAAATCAACCAAATAATGCCCCCACCAGCTGGCAGTACAGAACCTAGAGCAAATATCAGCTTTGTGAGCAGGATGCAAAGATTGAATGGCATGCATATTAGATTGTGTGAGGTAATCTCTTTTGTTTTTTCCTTGGCATTCACAGTGTTACTTTGCCGACCATAACATTTGACTCACCAGAAATCCACTTTAAGTATATGGACAATATCTATATTATGCCAAATAATTTTAATCCTTTAATATAAATCACAAAATAAATACAACTGTATATGCACTACCTGATCCTGTGTACCAGTCCACATTGTGTCACCTTTTCTTTAATCCTGATAAGCATTTGTTAGTTGACTGCATAGTGAAATATTGATCTTGCATCAGCACACGACACACTGATAAAAAGATACAGTGCCTTGCAAAACTAATCACTCCCTTCCAATAATGTCACATGCTGATTAATTATGAATGATGTATTGAAATTTGGGGAAAATTGAATTTGATATGTGAAATTTTAATATTTGATATTTGAAAATGTTAATATGCTTCTACAGTTTTTATTTTAAACCATTTTAAATCAGACTGAACACTTTTAATATGCAAAGGGGCTTGAATGTCAGAAAAGTAAAGTAATCTGCAAAGTAAAAAGTTCCTGATTGCATAAGTATTCTGCCTCATAAGTCAGTAATTGGTAGAAGCACCTTTTGCAACAATTACTGCTCTCTTTGGATCAGTGTAACTTTGCACAGCTGGATGATAACATTTATTGCTATTCTTTCTGGCAAAAATCTTCAGGTACAAAATGTTGTACCCTTGAGCAAAATACTTGAATCCAGTTCCAGTAAATTACTGAGTTGTATAAA